ACCTGTCTCTCGTCTCTTCTATGTCAAACATCCAATCATTGTAGAGAAAATAAGCTATCTTAAAACCGTCCCCGGGCGGGGGAAACAAAGTTGGCACATCTGGTAACAAAAGAAATTTTCTAAAAAATGGAAGCAGAGGGATGGAGAGATGGCTCAGAGGTTAAGAGCATCGCCTGCTCTTCCAGAGGTCCTGAGTTCAATTCCCAGCAACCACATGGTGGCTCACAACCATCTGTAATGAGGTCTGGTGCCCTCTTCTGGCCTGCAGGCATACACACAGACAGAATATTGTATACATAATAAATAAATAAATAAATAAATAAATACTTAAAAAATGGAAGCAGAGACATCTTTTAAATATATCTTTTTATGTGGTTCTTTTCTATCAAGCTGAATCACTCCCTGGTCTGAGTTTTTTGTGTACCTGGCACCTCTTACACTGGATGCATGTGCGCACGCGCACACACACACACACACACACACACACACACACACCTGATTTTCTCACTACCATGAACTTCTCCTACCTCTTCCTGTCAAAACAAGAACCAGGCGTTTAGTCGCAAACACATCCCACTGCCATAGCACAGGAGTTAGCGCCCAGAGGTCTGAAATGGTCACTTCATTCTCTAAGTTTTGTTTTGTTGTTGTTTGTTTAATTTGGTTTTGTTTTATTTGATTTGGTTCTCGATACCGGGTTTCTCTGTGTCGCCCTGGCTATCCCAGAACTTGTTCTGTAGACGAGGCTGGCCTGGAACCCAGAGATCTGCCTGCCTCTGCCTCCTAAGTGCTGGGATTAAAGATGTGCACCGCCACCACCTGGCCTCATTCTGTAAGTTCTGGAAATATCAAGAGAAGAGTCTGATATAAAGAATAACAAAGAATCGGAACATGGAGCTAGAAAAATTAACAAGGTAGTAAGGGAGAAACCTGTCAGCAATGGAAGACAAATAAGGCGGGCAGTCTAGCTAAGTCCTAGAGTGGAGGGGAAGGCACTATGGTTTGGATACAGCTTATGTCTCCCAAAGGTTTATGAATTGAAATTTACATATCATTGTGAGGAACTGTGGTGGTTTCAGTAAGAATGGTTCCCATGGGCTTCTATATCTGAATGCTTGGGTCATCAGGGAATGACATTACTTAGGAGGGGTTGGGAGTTGTGGCCTTGCTGGAGGATGTGTGTCACTGCCTCGAGGTTTCAGAAACTCAAGCCAGGCCCAATGGCCTTCCCTCTTCCTGCTGCCTGAGTATTCAGATGTAGAACTCTCTGCTCCTTCTCAAACTGTGAGTCAGCCCCAAGCCAGTGCTTCCTTTCTGTGAGTTTCTGTGGTCACGGTGTGACCACAGCACAGCAATGGAACAATGGCTAAGACAGGAATTAGGACAGTGTAAACTTGACCCAAATCATCTTCAAGGTTGGCTTTGGGACAGTGATCGGAATTAGATAACCATCAAGGTGGATGACCACGACTGAATCCAAGTAGCATTATGAGGAGAGGGACTAGAAGACAGACAGACAGACAGACAGACAGACAGACAGACACACACACACACACACACACACACACACACACTGCCTCTTGCTGTGTGATGTCCTGTACCACCTCAGGATTCCTGCAGATTGTCATAGCCTGTGTATCCTAGGAGAACCTGAAACAAATGAGATACTAAGATGTTTAAATTGCAACATATTATACGTGGTGTGTATTTGTGCGTGTATGGGTATATATGCGTGTGCATATACCTGTGGAACTTGTGGAGGTCAGCATCCAAATTCAGGTGTTTTCCCCAATTTTTCTATACCCTGTTTTCTGAGATAAGTCTCACATGGAGCCTGAAGTTTGTAGCTTCAACTAATCTGGCAGACCAGCAAGTCCCAGGGATTCTTACATCTCTATGTCCCTAATGTGAGATTACAGCACGCACCTGCATTTTTACATGAGTTCTGGGGACGCGTGCTAAGATTTACATGCTAGAAAGGCAATCACTCTACAAATTGATTCATCTGCCCAGTCCCTATATACAGTATTATTGATTGCATATTTTACTTTTGTACATGCCGTCTTTAATACCTAAAACTTGTCATGCTTGCTGAGGTCACAAGTACAGTTTCCACTTGGACTATTTCCTTCAAATTCAACAGTCTGCTTCCAGCCACTAACTCTTCTCTTATCAGAGGCAATACATGACGGAGAACATGTTTGGAAGTGAGATCTTCATCTCACAGTAGAAGGAAGGAAAAGAAGAGTGGCCATGCTCCCTATATCCACGTATGGGTACACCCCTGATATCTGATTTCCTGTAATGAGGCCCCTCTATAGGTACACCCCTATCTGACTTCTTGCAGTGAGGACCCTCTGTGGGTACACCCCTGATATCTGACTTCTTGCAGTGAGGACCCTCTATGAGTACACCCCTGATATCTGATTTCCTGCAATGAGGCCCCTCTACAGGTACACCCCTGATATCTGACTTCCTGCACTGAGGACCCTCTATGGGTACACCCCTGATATCTAACTTCTTGCACTGAGGACCCTCTATGGGTACACCCATGACTGACTTCCTGCACTGAGGACCCTCTGCCTAAATTTTCCTTCACCTCCTGAACTGTCACCAGCTGGGAACCAACCTACAACACATGAGCCTTGGTGGACAGTGAAGATCCAAACCCTAACAGAACGTCTTCCTAAGTTTGGCACCAATTAGGAACTTCCTAGTTACCTTTAAGAGCTCTAATTTGCCAAGTTCCCCAGGATGAAAACGTAATTCCTTATTTCTAAGGAATAATTAATAAAGATGAATGCACAGTAGTGCAATGTAGTCAAACAGAACTAAGTCTTGGAAACTTAGCACCCAACCCTTACTAACAATGTGACTTGAGTCCCTTCTGCCTCTCGAAGACTCCAGTTCTAGCTGGAAAGAGACAGTAAGACAAAGAAGGGCAAAGCAATTGCTGGCAAGATAGTTCAGAGGGTGATAGCGCTGCCCCCAGACCAGACAGCCTGAGACTGATCCTGGGGGTCATACAGTTGAGAGAACCAACTCCCGCAAGTGTTGTCCTCTTACTCCGGATGTGTGGTGATTACACACACAAAATGTAATTACTTTTAAATATTTTAATGAGATTTTAGCAGAAAACCCGGGTAGGGTGGGTACACTCTTGTAACTGCAGCAATCAAGGGCTGGAGCAGGAAAATCACCATGAGGTTCAAGGCCAGCCTAGGCTACAGTTCCAGCCAGATGATCCGCACTGTGAAACCCTGTCTGATCAAATTTTATATGTGTGTCCCAGCATCAGATCCATAATAAGGTCTGAAAACTCCGTGTCCTTCCAGAACAGCGTGCTGGTCTATGACCTCTCCCAGCCCTGCCGCTGTATCCCATGATGTCATCCTCATTCCCACAGCATTGGATCCTAGTTCACGGACCTTTTATCTTATTCCGCTTGTATTTTTTATTGTGAGCATATTTAGACATAATTACTAATTGTACAGATTGGTCTCTTCTCCACTTCTAGTTTATTTGCAGAGACAATGTCCTATGTTACCCAGACTGGTCTCACACTGTGCGCTCAAGAGATGCTCCTGCCTCAGCCTCACAGGTACCTGGGGATACAGACACCAAGCACCATGCCTGGCCTCTTCTCCATTCAAAGTGCTTTGAGGCTTGATGTTTGAAATTTACCTTCTAGTAGCACATCCCCACTGTGTGATAAATATAAAAACTCTACACCTGCCTTCTAAATTGGAAAAAAATAATTTTGTGTTTATTCAAATTTTTTTAAGTTGTTTTCAGATTAAAAAGTCCAAGAGAACCTGAACAGGTAAGTGTGGTATCGACAAGAACACCAATACAGTCCTTGAGACACAGTCACGGTTCCCTCTATGCTGTTCCTTATGCCAGACCAAATACCTCTGTGACAAGTACATCTTTCCCACAAAAACTAAAATCTTTTCCACAGAAACTAAAACTAAAATTGTATGACAGTGTTTAGGATGCTTCATCTAAAATGAACTTAATCTGTTTCCCGTCTGACCTTTCGAGTACTTTTTTTGATAACTCATCTGTAGACACATTAAAATCGATATAGTTGCAGCATATTTTGAGGACAAATACCTCAAGTGCCGACTACACAGGTTGCCACAGATGTAACTTTTAACGCTTGCTGATGCTGACGACTGAAAGAACGAGGGTTGCAGAATCCTCGGGCTAAATTTGCTACAGCTTTAAACCTTGACCGAAGTACTGATCCGCCTGTTAATTCAGCTGTGATATAAGGGATGTATGTATCGGGAGAACTGGAGAAGTGATCGTGCCGAAACAAAATGAGTCATGGTGGATGGTCGCCTACACTAACGGCAGTCCGTATTATATGAGGTTACCTAACTGGAATTACATACTGCTTAACATATAAGACGGGCTCTCTGCAAACTTTTAGAAAAAGTATTTGCAATGGTACTTGCAGTCCTTTAGAGATCCAAAAGCTATGGGGCCAAGGATCTTGAGCATGGTTCCCTCGAGCTCTCGCCTCAGTTGTATTTATTTTTTAATCGTCGGAGAATGAGGCGGACTGAGGGTGAGACAGGGCTTCACTGGGTAGCCCTTAACCGTCCTGGAACTCACTACATACACCAGGCTGACCTTGAACTCAGAGACACCCCTGCCTCTGCCTCCCAACTGCTGGAAATAAACATCTGGCTGCCCCGAGTGCTGTGCCTGCGGCTTCTGCTCTGGGAGGGGAGAGGGTTTGCAGGAGGAAACTGTCTCCTGTCATGGAACCAGCCCTCGGAAGTCCCCAGGGCCCTGCTGGAGTAGAGGGTTGAGGTGGGTGCAGCAGTGCTTGGAGGGCGACAGCTTGCCTCAGAGCATAGACCTTGCGAGGGGAGCACGTTACTTATGCCGCAGTGCAGGGCCGCCCACGCCCCGGCAGTCCCCCGCAGTGCGAGCCTTCCCACGCCATCCCCCCCGCAGTGCCATCCTACCCCCACCCCACCCCCGCAATGCAAGCCATCCCACGTCGAGTGCCCCCGGGCAGTGCGAGCCGCCTCACACCGCCCCACGCCCAGCGCCCCCAGGACCTGCGCACAGCGTCGCCGTCGCCGCCTCCTCCCAGACCCCAGGCCACCCCCACCTCACACCCCGACGGCTGCTCGTCCCCCGCGGGGGCCCGCACCGTCTTCCTCCCCAACCGAAGAGCTAGCGTTTTGGCTCCGAAGCACGACCTTCCGGGGACACCCTCCCCCGACCCCGGCACTCACCGCCCGGGACTCGGTCTCCATCTTTCCGGTCCGGTCCGCTCTTCAGAGAGACAGCGGGAGGCGCGGGAGCGTCAAGTTGGAAGGCGTGTTCCGAGGAAGCGAGCCGGCGCGGCTCCCGTCGGGGACTCGCTCCCCCTGGCGGCGGCGGCGGCGGCTGCAGCGGCGC